CGCAAGCTAGCTATCTGAAGGGAGGGAACCTCAACTGAGAAAAGGCCTCCTTAAGATCCAGCTGTAAGGCATTTTCTTAACTAGTGATTGATGGGGGAGGGACCAGCCCATAGTGGGCAGTACCATCCCTGGGCTGGTGGTCCTAGGTTCTATAAGAAAGCAGGTTGAGAAAGCCGTAGGAAGCAAGCCAGTAAGCAGCACCCCTCCATGGCCTCTGCATCAGCTCCTGCCTCCAGGTTCCCGCCCTGTTTGAGTTCCTGCCCTGACGTCCCTCCAGTGATGAGCAGTGCTGTGGAAATGTAAGTCAAATAAACCTTTTCCTCCCCAGATTTCTTTGGTCATGGCGTTCGATCACAGCAAGAGTAACCCTAACGAGGAGAGAAATCTTCCCATCACCTCATTTTTCCAGCATCCCCGGTGGGGCATACAGATGCACACCTTTGATCCGAGCACTCAGGAGGCAGAGTCAGGTTAATCTCTGCCGGTTTTAGGCCAGCCTGATCTATACAGTGAGTCCCAAGCCAGGCAGGGTTACATAGAGAGAGACTCCATCTAAATAAATAAAGTTTACGTATCAGTTTTAGAAATCAATTTAAACATAGGTAATTTATTTTCTTTCTAATGCTGAGTCCCCTCCACTACTCACTATTGTTCTGGGTACTATCCTCCAATCTTTGGGCCCCACTCAGCCTGTCCCTCCATTCCTGAGCAGGGGTCAAGTAGCAACTTTGCAGTGGGCTGCAGGCAGCAGATACGGTCATCCGCGTGCACTGGGGTGTCATGAAAGAAGGAAAGAACTGTGGTTGAAGAGAACCCTTTTTTTGATTCCATGACTGCTTATCACCCACCTATCCAAACACGCTTCTCAGGGAAAGGCAGGGAAGAGAAGACACAGAGGTAGAGCAGGAAAGCACCGTCATTTTGCTCCAGAAAATCGGGACTCCATGGTCTTTAAACTGCACTGGTATCACCTGTCCTACACTTTGTTCTAAAGCATGAGGAAGTGGTAGTGAGGGGGGCGCTCTGGCAGCTGCTAGCACTCTCTGTCAGTCAACCAGAAAAACTCAAGGGCTGTGGGGTGTCCCAGAGGCAGGCTGGATTGTGACCATGCCTAGGCCATCCCCCACGAGATACCCATGAGGACAGCCTGAGGAGCCGTTCTGGGCATGGAAGACAGAGGGCTCACCCAGGAAGAGTCTGAGCAGTGCTTTCTTGACAAGCCACTCAAGAAGGGCTGTGAAAGGGTCAGCGGAAGTTCCCCACTTCAAATCTTTCCTGTTTCCTTTCTTCCCTGTACTTACCACGCTGACTTGCCTGGTCTCTGCCTAATCTGGATGGAATTTCCTCCTCCACCCACCTGGCATGCACCCTACAGTCTTAAGCACTTCTGACCATGGGCTCTTGCGTCCACCTCACAGGCCAGTCTAAACCACCATATCACTTGCCCACCAGTTAAAGGCTTCTGGGAAAATCCTGCCAAGCCCAGTTTAGAGAGATGCTATGGCTGAACAAGAGCCTGCAGACACCCAGACATCCTAGATCCCTGACTTGGTTTCCCTCTGCTGGTTGCTACAACCGAGGGCACTCAGAGGTCTCACCAATCTGGCTCTCTTTAAATGAAGCATTTGTATCTACCACAGACTGTGAAGACTAAGGGAAAAAGAAAGAGGTTAGAAAAATTGATGCAAGTCTTCCCAATGGGGACTTAAACAACCTAAGGCTATTGCTGCTGGGGAATCAGAGAAATAATGGACCATCTAAGATGCCCATACTTTGTTTGGAAATGGAGTCTTGCTAGGTGGTAGCTCAGGCTGGCCTTGAACTATGACTTCAGGCTGACCTCAAATTCTCCACTGTCCCGTCCCAGCTTCCAAGTGCTAGGATTCAATGCGTGCACTATCCGGCCTGGCCAGAAGTGTTTTTTTTCAGTCTCTGGGAAACATGCCCCAAACAAAACTTCGACAGTGTCTCTTCCTTCCAACGCCATAACTGCTTATATACCATGCTGTCACCAATCTGTCTTTCAAATGCTCAGCCCAATAGTGGGTCAAAACCCACAGTTTGAAAAACACTGGGCATGAACGTGGCATTGGAAGGTGATAGAGCCTCATGAAAAAACAGCTTCAGTATTAGAACAGTAAACATCCATAAGTCCTCTTACTATACAAAACCAAGGAGCTCCACAGGCTCAGAGCTGCAAAGAACCTGCCCTGGGTTCCACAGCTCACACATCCTAGGATAGCAAATCTGAAAAAAGCAGACTGACTCAACATTCACATTTAACAACAACAACAAGCTCAAAGTGGGCAGGGCGGGGGGAGAACACGACACAGATCATAGATGCCTTTTCAAAAAAAATCAAAGAAAACATTTTTTTCTTTCCAAGACATGATTTACATACATTTGGTTTCTGTTGTAATAATTAACACGAAAGGACAATAGGTGTGCCAGAGAAAGGGGGTGGGTTAAAGGTGAACGGAGTACCCATTTTCCCCACAGCAAAACAAAGGCACACATCAGTGCCTGAGGCAGAGAGCAAGGGTGCTGAAGGGCTGCCAGCCCAACCAACGCCTCCTGACTCAGTTACTCAGTCTTCATCATCCAAAAATATTTAAGAGGGACGCAGCTGTGGTCTTCCCCACGTGGAACGTTTTCAGGACTGGGCTGTAGATGTGTCCCTGCCCCCTCAGGCTAGGCACAGACAACCGTGCAGATGTGGGTAGACACTGGCTCAAAAGCCTGTGTCACGTAATTATCTCTGTGCTTTTTTGTCTTTGCTGAAAACAAGAAAGGAAGGAAGGAAGGAAGGAAGGAAAGAAAGAAAGAAGGAACGAAAGAAGGAAAGAAAGAAAGAGTCCTTGCTACCCAAAGAAAGTTACAGGGTAACACAAAGGAACTTCACACCCAGGCTGAGAACTGCAGAGCCCAAGGGTCTCTACCCACAGCCAGGATCAAAATGGCAGACCTAGGAGAACTTGCTGACTGGCAAAGAAAAACATCATTTTGTAACCAAGCCCCCTAAGGTGAATACTGACAACAGTGAAGATAGACACACACACACTCACACACATGCTCACAACTCACACTCACAAAACACATTCTCTCACACACACAGCTCATATACATTCACATGGTCTCTCTTACACACTCACACACGTTCACTCACACAGCACACACATGCTCACAACTCACAAACACACACGCTCTCTCTCGCTCTCTCTCTCACACACACACCACAAAAAGTTCCACAGATGGGAACTTTTTGGAAAAGACCAAGCACACAGATGAAGTCTGAATCAAAACCGGCAGGGAAGAGTATGGGGGAATGAAACACACAGCACATGACTTACACAGAGGAGACAAACGCCTTGACTGGCAAATAAATGAAATAGTAATAACTGCTACTAACCTTCAAAGTAAGCTAAATCCCTGAACCAGAATTCATGACAAAGAGGCACCAGGCCTCACTGGTTCCTTTGCTGGAATGTCATCTCCCAAGTCTATGGTCTATTCAAATGAACAGCTCCTAACTTTCCCCTGGCTCTAACCCAAGATAATGACTGTAAAAATGTCATTTCATTTGATCTGTTCTATACTAATGCCATCTAGTGTATGCCCCAGGTCTTTCTGGGGTAATTTAAAAATCTAAGACTTTTCCCCAACTCATTCCTCAACAGTGCCAGGCAAGGAGCACTACAAGACTCCCCACTAGGACAGTGGAGGGACAGAAAAGATGACTCGGGTCTGGCAGCGAGCTGGAAGACAGGCCTTGCCGTATGCCCAGTGTCTGTTCTCCCTGGACTTGGCCTGTCCAGTCATTGACTGCCAGCTCTGAGAAAACCCCAATATTCATACCTGCTCAGGTGGACCCCGCATCAGCAATAAGGTACTGTTATGTTGTGTACAGACCTGGCCCCCTGCCTTACAAAACAACTGCCACTTAGCGAGGCCACTAAGTTCCCCAAACCATACTGGAATTAAGTGGCTAAGACTCCGAGCAAGCTCCTGTGCTCCCCTCCCTTGCACCTCGGTTTATTCATATGTTAATTCCCAGAGATGCCCCCACCCAACTCCTGTAAGATGAGTTCCACCCCTAAAAGTCAGTACAGGTATTACTTCCTGGAACTCTCGCAGTGCCTCTCCAGGTCCAGCACAGGCAGCTCACCTGTTCAAGTTGCCCCTTGACAGAAGCACAAGCGAAACTACCCGGAGGGAAGTGACCAGGTCAAACTGGAAGCCTATTACACAACCCATAGACAACCCGTATACAAGTTTGCAGGTTCTCCTCACAACAAACAAAAGACAGCAAATGACCCAGTAGGTCCCATTACCTCCCAGCAGAATTGGGTGGGATGGGAGGCGTCACGGGTATGTCACCGATCCAGTACCCCCCCCCCCCAAAGGAGCTGTTCAGAGCCTGGGGATCTGCCTTTCATGACTCGTCCCCAGCCCCTAACCCACACCAGAGCAGCAGGCATGCCGGAGCCAGCGGTGCACAGCCGGGTGGGGGGGGGGAGGGGGGGTTGTTAGAATTCTCCACAGAGCGCAGCGAGCAGAGCAGCGAGGAGCGCTTCGCTTCCCGGCTGCCAGCTCCCTCAGAAGCCGCACACGTGCTACACCCGCGCAGGGTAGGACGGTTCAAAGCCACAGCCTCCGCTGTGCAAGAGTGCTCACCACCTTATCCCCTGCTACAGAGGCGGGGACCAAAGTGCGGGGCTCCCAAGCAGGATCTGGGAACACTCCCCCAGGGCATCCTGGAAGGAGCGGAGCAACTCGGCTCGCTTCCCAGAGCCTGAGATGCACACGCCCAGTCCGGGAGAGACCCCTGGCCTGTCGCCGCGCCCCGAGGGACCAGCAGCGTGGCTTCTCGGTGCTGCCCTAGAGCTAGCGCTGCACGGGATGAAAAAAAAAAAAAAAAAAAAAAAAAACGCGCACGGCTACTGCTGCCCCCCCCCCCCCCGCCCCCGGCTCCTTTCCCCCACAGTCTACGCGCGCCGCACCTTCACGGAGTCCAACGGGTACATGAGGGAATGCTCCAGAATCCCGGCCATCGCTCCCGCTGTCATGTGGGTAGACACCGAGGCACTGGTCGGTAGGTTCTCGTAGTCCTCCGACCCTGCGTCCCTACTGCCGCAGCCGCCATCTCGGCAGTCCCCATCCATCCTCCGGCCCGCAGCCTGGCTCCCCACGCCACCGAGGTGGAGCTCCATCCGCAGCCCCGCGGGGCGCGGGAGGCGGCAGGAGGTGAGCAGAAGGGGGAGGGGGAGGAAAACTTCACTTCTTAAAGTGGGAACCTCCTCCCCCGGGTTGCTGCGGCTGACGCCATGGCGGGCTGGGGTGGAGCCGAGCGGCCTGAAGCACCAATGGCTGGAGAAGAAGAGGCCGGCCACGGCAGAGCTATTGGTGCGCTGGGCAGCGGGCACCCGCCTCCCTGTGTGACGTCGCAGCCTACTGCACATTTCCAAGCAACCGGATGGGGGCGAGAACCCGACGTTGGGGTGTCCCGGGAAGTTGTGCTACCTAGGAGGTGGTGACCATCTGCAAGGGACTCAGGTTCCTGGGGAGAGTCAGCAGAAGAGATACCCGCGGAGCTGCAAAATAAGGAGCAGGAGCTGTTCCCAGAACCGGTGGTTTTGCAGACCCTGGTCACCCAGCTTTAGCGTTCCTAAGGCTGGGGATCGAGTGGGAAAGGAAGACAGTTACTGGGAATGTGAGTTATGAAGCATGGTGGGTGGACAGACATTCGAGTCGAGGGAAAGGTGTGTTCTATATTCAAGGGCACACTGGATATCAACAGGTGCACCTTATGTGTTTCACTAGGGCGCATTCCAGGGAGTGAACAGTATCACTCACGGTCCCTCTTCTAGTAAGCTTTGCTTGGAGACAGCCTCATTGATTGGGAAGTGTTTCTCTTCTGAAAATAACAAAGGGCTAAGTGTGTTCCTCTTGTTCTCTTGAAGATCCAAGTCCACCCTGTCCTGGATTGACCAAGGCAATGGTAGCAGGAACAGAACCCTTCACTAAACAACTGGGCATTTTCTTTGGGTTTGTAAAGTCCTTAGCTGCTGTTACAGCAAGTAACTGCATAAAGCTTTACAACAAAGTCGGCCTGTCTTTTAAGATGTTCTTTTAAAGTCATCCCCTCTGGCTCCTTCAATGAATTGGAGCCCAGGATGCTTTATTTTAACTTAATATTGCCTGAGGTTAAGTGTAGAAATCAAAAAGCAGAGGTCTGTCTGCTTATGGAAGGCTCCTTCCTTATGCGCCTTAGGACATATTCCAGGGCGGTGGGCTGATCTGCAGAGCCTGGGCCTCTCTCACTTATCAAGAGCAGCAAGCCTGGGCAATGAGATATGCAAGGGTTGGGGGGACCCTGGAGATACTGTGCCTGCCAAGCTGCAGGTCAGTACATTGCAAGCAGCTCTCAGGGATCTGAGATTCAGTGATGGGCACATCAAACGAGAACAATAAAGGGGTCAAAGCCGAGGGAACCATTTTCCAGTCTTGGGTAGCTGTCCTAGTGGCTTCCAGGTGAGTCCTAAGATTATGAAAGTAGATACCAGAGTGTTGTTTAACAAAAGTGACGGAAAACATGGCTCAACTTCTGACAAGAGTAGTGTTTAAGAACTGTTGATCAGGAGTTGTTGACACTCACAGAATGTAGCCCAGCAATCAAGAGGGTGAGGCAAGGGGATCACCACTAGTTTGAGGTCACTTTGTCTTATATGGTGAGTCCCAGACCAGCCTGAGTTCAGTGTGAGAGCCTGTCACACACAAAAATGTTTCTTCAGCCAACACATTTGAACCCCCATTCCACTTCTGAAGGCCTGAGACGCATAGAAAGCTTTTGAAAGTGTCATTTGTAGAAGCTATCTAAATGTTCAGTAAGAGGGGAAATGAAGAAATGATGATGTGTATTAGTGAAATATTACACAGCCCCTAAAAACGGTGGTTCTGTTAGGCAATCACAAAGGAAATGATTCATGTACTGTTGGGAGAAAAAAAAGGCAAAGCACAATTCTGTGACCATTACACTCACAAAATGTCTGTGCATAGACATAAAAATGAATTGACTCGTAACTGCTGTTTTTCAGATTTCAGTTAATATATTATTTCTGTGATTTAAAAATAAAAGGATTTGTATTCTACCTCCTAATGGATGGGAAATGGGAAACTGAAATTTGCAACGGCAGCCTGGGTGGAAGGAATTCAACTTACCAGTGACTAAGAATATTCTTGGGGATTTTTTTTTTAATTAAAAGAGATTCCTGCAAATGTGGATGTGACTATAATCTTCAGAGTCAGAAGATTTTTAAATTTTTTTTTTTTAAAAATTCATTCCAGTGTATCTCTCACCTCTCATCAAAGAAGTTTTTCTTTGAACCAGGTAAATACCATTACAAAAAGCCAGAGTTTGCCAAATTTCAAAGAATAACTGATCATGGGGTGCCCAGCCCCAACTGATAGATATACAACGAATCCCCTATATGTAAGGTTCACAAAACATGGAGGGAGATCACAGAACATGAAGGTGGAGCAGACAGAAAGAGTCTAAGAACCAGGGGACCAAAACATCTGCTGAGGAAGAGTGGTTTTCTGTTTGGGGGTTATGGACCCCCAAGACAGGGTTTCTCTGTGGCTTTGGAGCCTGTCCTGGAACTAGCTCTGTCGACCAGGCTGGCCTCGAACTCACAGAGATCCGCCTGCCTCTGCGCCCCGAGTGCTGGGATTAAAGGAGTGCGCCACCATCGCCCGGCTTTTTTTTTTCCTGAATTTCTTGTAAATAACTTGTTTTCCCTGCTCTGAGCATGAGACCTTGATGGTAGGAGAGTGGTCTCTGGTGGGCCTGCAACTGAAAAATCACAAGAGCTGGGGCATGGCCAGAGCCCTAGCTGCCCCTGAGCACAATAAAGTTGGCATTCTAGTATCAAGGATGACCCGTGTCCGTGTCTCTGTCTCTGTGTGCGTGTACTTTTAAGTCTCCAGCTTACTTTCTGGCTCGCATACTGTCCTGTAGTGGCGTGGGCACTACAGTTTTCTTTTTTGTGTTTGGTTTGGTTGGTTGGTTGGTTTTGGCTTTTCAAGACAGGATTTCTTTTGTGTAGCTCTGGCTGTCCTCGAATTTACTCTGTAGACCAGGCTGACCTTGAACTCGGAGTTCCTGCCTCTTCCTCTGCCTCCCAAATTCTGGGATTAAAGGTGTGCACCACCACCTCCCTTCAACAATGTCTTCTATAAGACAGGAGGCAACACCAAGGAAACTGTAACAATATGTTTGCTTAAACAAGACCTGAAAAATGACACCACCTATTGACATGACAACATAGGTGTGGGAATTCTCCCAAGACTCCACCCCCCAGATGAAGAACTTCAAGCAATTAATGGTTGCTAAGAGAGGGAGACACAGGATTCTCCAGGGATGAGCCCCGGACAGGCTATCCAGTCCCAAAGAGGTTAGCCCTAAATACACATGAGCCACACTAAATGAACTCAGTAGGTTGTATTTATAAACGTATATGTATATAGGTAACAATAATAAAGAATAAGAAGCTGGGGATGGAGCAATGGCTCAACTATTAGGGGCACTGGTTTTTCTTCCAGAGATTCTGAGTTCAATTCCCAGTACCCATATGGCAGCTCACAACGGCCTATAATGGGATCTGAAACCCTCTTCCAGTGTGCAGATGTGCATGAAGACAAAGCACCCACATACATAATCCTTTTTGTTGTTGTGTTGTTTTGTTTTGTTTTGAGACATGGTTTCTCTGTAGCTTTGGAGCCTGTCCTGGAACTAGCTCTTGTAGACCAGGCTGGCCTCGAACTCACAGAGATCCGCCTGCCTCTGCCTCCCAAGTGCTGGGATTAAAGGCATGCGCCACCACTGCCCGGTCATATTCTTTTTTAAAAAAAGAATAAAGGCCATGAATTTGAGAAAGGGTGTGGGGCATGAGAAAAGTTGGAGGAGTTGGAGGGGAAATTGTATATAGTACTTATATATCAAATTTACACAAAATATTAAAAATCAAAATATGAAAAGAGTGCAAATCTGTGAGGGGTTTACTGTAAGTGCTCATTACTTTTTTTCTACTTCTCTGTGTGATGGACTGTGTACCCTTGTGTATCTCACACTCACTGCATTGCAGCAGACACATTTCTAGAATGCCCTTGCAGTCAAGGGTCCATCATGGAGCTGGTCCATGAACTGGAGAGATCTGGAAGGCAGAGGTGCAGCCAGAGTCATCTTCTGCTGCTCGCTGTTTCTTGCCCCCTGAGAAGGATGCATGATGTGGGTGTCCTTCTGTATATGTGTTGCTTTTATTGGTTAATGAATAAAGCTGCTTTGGCCTATAGCAAGGCAGAATATAGCCAGGCTGGAAGAGAGACAGAGAGAGAGAGAGAGAGAGAGAGAGAGAGAGAGAGAAAGAATAGGTGGAGTCAAAGAGATACCATGTAGTTGCCCAAGCAGAAAGATGCCACCAGAACCTTTCTGGTAAGCCACAGCCTTGTGGTAATAAACAGATTAATATAAATAGGTTAATTTAAGATATAAGAGCTAGGTAGGAATACACCTAAGCTGTTGTTCAAACAGTGTTGTAATTGATATAGTTTTGTGTGACTATTTGGGCCCAGGCAGCAAGGAAACAAACAAGCAGTCTCCCTTTACAGATGCAGACACTTGGGGTCGGGGTGTCAGGGAGGATAGCACTACAGTGTCTGGCCACTAGACACATGGCTGTTGAGAGGCTTTGATAGCAAGATTGATGGCAGCCTCCCAAGCCCTTCATGATAGCTTCATATATGACCCCCTGATTCCTCCCCTTCAGGGACATGAGAGTTAGTTGTTATCTCAAGAAACCATCTTGGCTGTGTGCATCTGAGAGTTATCCTCAGAGACCTACCCTGGAGTCTGCTCTCCATATCTCCAACAATACCAGGCATAGCAGTAGAAAGGCCCGGTGGTGGAGGGCTCACTGCTGGACATGGGAATCCAGCAGTCAGCCCTGCTCCTCCACTTCTGGAGGAAGGCCTATTGGGACAAGGTCCACATTCCAGCCCTAGAACCCTGTGTTTTGGGCACACCCACACAGAGGAAGGAGCCCAGGAACCCAGAATCAGATCTGCTGCTGAGTAGATAGATATTTTATCTACTATCCAGGGTCAGGTCAGGAGAGGAAGAGCAATGATTCTGCTGGAGTCTTGCATAATAAAGTTCCTGACTGTTGAAGGCCTGAAGATGTCAGCACGCCTCCTGCCCCAGGCCAACCGAAAGCCAAGCTTAGCTTAGAAAGAGGAAGTTGCTGAGCGTGCAAGATGCACAGCCTCTAACTTTGGCTCAGAGACCTGTGCCAGCGCTGGTTCCACCATTTACTGACAATGAGGCTCTGGCCTCTGGACTGACCTGCTTCCTCTGTAGGCTACAGCCACAGATACTTAACCACACACCAAGTGAAATACATTGGTACATTGAGAATGAAAGCATCCACAATGCTGACTAATTTTAACTCAAGTGTATATATTAAGAAGACCACAAATTCCTCTGAACATATACAGTCCCTCACAACTGCACATATCCGCCCCCTATAATCCCAGAATGCCTTGCTTTTCCAAGGACAGTGCTATTTATAGCCTCTTGACCTGTGACTCACCCTCAGGGCTGTGTTTCCCCAAGACGAAGAAACAGAAACAAAATGAAGAGGTAGGCAGAACTGTCCTCATTTTCCAGGCTTCCTTTGATGGCAGGTGGTAACGGGGAGAGGATAGAGTTGTGAATTCCAGCAGCAGATTGAGGGGACCTGTTAGCCTACTCCACCTCACGAGAGTCTGCCCCTTCTCCGGTCTCAGCCACTCAAGTCCACAAGTCCCCATGACACGTGATGTCAGCCAAGCCCAAGTGCTGAGAGGTGATTCGGTTCCACTCGTGGGGATACCTGCCCCATGCGGCATGACCTGAAGACACCAGCTTGGACCAATGTTTCTGCACTGCTGTGGGCCTTGCTCTCACTCCACAGCCAAACCTCTAGAAGGCTAAAGGCCCAGAGTGGTCAAAGGGGAGGGCAAGGCAGTGCTGGTGGCATGGAAGGCAAAGAGGTAAACACACTATGTCTGAAACAAGGCCTACGTGCAACTCTGTATGGTGGACCATAGACAATCCACCAGCCGCCCACCATGTCAGCTGACCCATAATCTTTCCCCCTCTCAGCCCATTATCACAAGCATACCAATGTCTCCTATATCTAATAAAATCTCTCTTCCCAGCTTCACACGTTAAATTGCTGCCAATTCCCCTCCGCCATCCCAGAGTCCTTGAGTTACCTCCTCTACCTCAATCCTTTACGGCACACTTTTCAAAACCCTGCATGGTAATTTTTACCCCCTGTCATTTTCTTGTGGGTTCCCAGTCTTAGAAGGTTCACTGATGACTTCAATGCTAAGTGAACCCCCGAGCCCAGCTCTTGTCACTGCCCTGGCAGGAATAAAGGTGTTTCAAAGGACACTTAGACTTCTTTGTTTTGCTATCAGGCTGTTGAAAGGGTTCCTACGAAATTGGAATCTCCCCAGGAGTCTCACACCAGATGGAGGAGAGGCTGGGGCCCAGGTGCCTAGTTAGGAGCTTACCTTCCAGGAAGAGATGTCACACAGCTATGACAACATGTCAGAACACCTTGCAGAAGAGACCAAACTGGGACAATGATGACAGGTGGAACTGTACCGTCAATAGGACTGCTTAGTTAAGCCCACCTCTTGCTTTCTATTTAAACCTAAAGCTCACATCAGGACCCTAAGCATAGACTTGGGGAGTGAGGGGGCTACTCCATGGACCTCTCTGTTCCACCATGGCCACATTGGATAAGTCTTTTTATGCTTTTCACTATTAATTGTGATGATAATTGGCCTATTGAAGAGAGGTGGCCAAGTCTAATTTGTTAGGGCCGCCAGGGCCCCAGCTCTGCTCCCAACAACTCTGGTAACATCCCCAGCCTGAACTTCTAGATCCTTCCCCTGGAATTCCTCCCTCATTTCCCATTCTTTCTTCCCACCCACTCCACCTCTCATTCCTCTCCGGGTTCTGTCTTCCCTTTTTCCCTCCCTTTTCGTGATCCTCTTGCCCATCCCAGTTACCAAGCCCATCTCAGTTTTGCATCCTACCCCATCCTCTACTGTTCATGCCTGGTTCATGTGCTCCCAGACAGCTCCAGAATATTCTACCACCCTACAGCTCAGTGTTGATTTGTGTCTTGGGCCGGCTGTACCAAAATGCTTCTAGGGGACAGCTTGAGACAACAGAGACTTATTAACTTATGAAGCCTAAAGCCTAAGATTGAGGGGACAACAGCGTCTTATACTCTCTCTGAAAGCTGTCAGAGGGGAGCTTGCTGTCCCCTTCCAGCTTCTGGAAAGTCCCTGCCACCTTGATGTTCTTTGAGGTCAGAAAGCAAGAAAGACAAGGGAGCAAGCCACCTCCATGACAGCACAGACCTGGGGAACAGAGACTTCTAGTATAAGAAACTAGAGAGCCCACTCTCCACTTACAGACAGGGACATTGAAAATATTCCTTTTCTGGCCTCCACTCGGTTGTTGCTAGGAGTTGCTTAGGAACTAAGTTGAGTGGTAGACTAAAGACTCTCAGGTGATGGAGAACTAGCTCTCATGGCCACATCTCGGGGACGGAGTAGTGATAAGGCAGAAAGGGCTTGGGTCTGGAAAAATAAGTAATGTTAGTTCTGGAGGCAAAATTACTTAGTTTCTGGAATTGTCATGGATACAAAACACTGTGGCAATGACTAATACCCAACTTGGTTTCTATTAACTGGAAAGTAAGGAGGGCAATGCTGGTGCTCTCCCAACTTCTCCCTGGTACACAGGAGCGATGTCTTCATCTGGGGCATCTTGGGGCAGTCTTTTATAGTGGACATTTTGAAGGATACTGTCCACATGCCTTTTGGTGGCATCTTGGACAAAGGAGCCAAGTCTCCGAGACACAAAACGGGTTAGGCAGTTAAGCAGACAAGACCCAAATGTCAACAGGAAGACAATGAAGAGGAGAGGTCCCAGGAAGGGAGTCAGCCATGACAGCCAGTATCCAGGATCGGGCCACTGTCCCCAAGAGTCAGAATGTTGGCCAAGTTCTGATGCTCGTTCTCGAAGTTTCCTTGCTGCATCTCGGACTATTCCAGACTGGTTTACATAGAAGCAGCACTCTTCTTGGAGAAAGAGACAGGTGCCCCCTTTCTCGGCCACGATGAGGTCCAGCGCCCTGCGGTTTTGAAGAACAACACCCGCCAGCGAGTCTATCTGGCTCTGGAGTGTAGTGACAGAGGCGGCCATTTCATCCAGGGTGTCCGAAAGAGCCTTTGAAAGCCTCTGGAAATAAAAAGTTGAGGAGGCCAAGCCAGCTATACCAGTACCAAGGGCAGAAGAGATACCCAGGCCTGCAAGGAAGGGGAAGAGGTGAGGGGACCTCTTTGGGCGAGAAGCTGAGGCAAGAACTGAAGCAAAAAGGGGGACAGACACCGTTTGGTTATTGGGGAGAAGTTCGATGTCTGGGTATTGGAAGACAAGGGTACAGACCCCGGACCAATTGGCCGGGAGACACATGTAAGTTGACGTTCCACAGAGGAAGAAAACGCCTGAAGAGTTGAGACAGAAGGAGTATGAGAAAGTGAGGAGATGGGAGAATGTGTTTGAGGTGACACCCCAGTTTTCTTGAATAGTTACCTCATTTTCCCAGACAGAATATTGTCCAGACAGCGCAGCTCCTGTGAGGGGCTGGTAGTGGAAGAGTGGATAGGGGTCTCTGTGTCCCTGGAGTTTGAGCTTGAAGTAGGTAGGGTTCACTGACATAGTAACAGGGTGGGTTAAATTGTCTGTTTCAAATAGAGTGAGATTATAGCAGGTGCCAGACAAGGAGAGAGGACAGCGCATCCAGGGAGTGGCTGGGGAGGTATGACAGTGTTTGATGTCAGCTGGGCACGGATAGTAAGAGGGCTCTGGGGAGACTAGGGAGGGAGGTCCCGAAAAGCGGAGCGGGTTTTTCCATTTGGCATCTGGTCTTTTCATTGCCTGTTTGAATAGATGGGTAGTGGACAGATCTAGGTTTACATGACTATTGGAAGGTGATATATGAAGAGTGTAGTTGCAGAGAGAGGTAGAGAGCGTGCCTACAAAAGTGGAGTAAGCCGGGACCTTGAAGGAGCGGGATATGCAGAGCGGAGCCTGTGACATGAGGAGCGTCTCAGTAAAGAGTGGTCCCCATAAAGGGCGCTGGGCAGACTCAAAGAAGCGGTCCTTATCAGGATAGATCACAGAGGTGAGTCGGGTGATGATCGGGAATATGCCTGTCGAACTGACGAGCTGAAGGAAAGCAATAGCCCGTCGGTCAGGATTGTGGAAAGAATAGGAGGCAGTCAACGGGGGGAAGAGTTGGAGGCGCCTCTCAATGTCAGTGATGGGATAGGAGCCAGAAAAGGGCTTGACTGAGTACGTGAGGTGAAGCTTCATGGGTGAGTCTGTCCAAGTGGACAAAGGAGCTGGGACCGCTAGGGAGCGCTGGGTACGGGTGGACAAGCAGACCCAGCAGTTGGGAAAAAAGGAGGAGTTGGTATCACGCAGGATATGGTGGGTTAGGTTTATGAGGGGCATCCAGCTCTCGGGATAGGACAAGGAGTAGGGGAAAAGGACGAGACAGAGGACCCAAAGGCAGATCATGGTGCTTTGGGAGTGGCCGGCAGTAGTGTGGGGCGTAGAGAATTTGGTCCTGTGGATTCTCAAGTCCTGGAACTTGTTCGGTTGGGGTGTTCAAAGGTGGCTGGTAAATCCAGGTGGCCCCAGGCAGTGCAGGTTATGCGTTGAGAGGTCAGACCTGTGAAAGAAGAGGCGGGGGAGGGTCACTGGAAGGATTAAGAGTTTTAAAGTTAGGATCTGGAGCCCTTTTGAGCTCAGAGTGGTGTAGCCAGCGAGAGATGGCCTCTACCTTTGCTACCTGGTGAAGTTCCCGCCCAGAAGACTCAGGATGGATGTGAATTTAGGAAGGTATCTGTGAGCCAAATGAACACAGAATGTGACTCATTAAATGTAAAGCAGTTCCTACATCCAGAAATGGGAAGGAGGTGGTGGGCCAGCAGTACTTGAATTCTAAGGCGCCGGGGTTAAGGGGCATTTCTGGGGAGAAGCTGAAAATGAAGGCAAGCAATAGGTAGATAAGATAGCTGGGACAGATGGCATGAGCTAATGTGGTGTGAGAAGAACATTGACATGGTACACCTTTCCTGAGGACGGAGGTCTATAGAGGATGCGGAAAGAGTGTTTGGGCCTAAGGAGGCAGCCAAGTATTGTGTGACCATAGAAATAAAAACATGGCTATATCGTCAAATGGCAGAGTTGAAGGCAGGCCAAAGCAAGGATCGATTTGAAGGATAAGAGAAACTGCACATTCCTCTTAGACCTAGTTGGGGAAGTTTCTGTCATGGAGAGGGTAGCATGTTGAGTGACGCCTATCTGCTACTTCTGTTTCAGGAGATGTCCTGGGCCTTGGTGAGGGAGGGAGGGGTCTATGACAAGGTGGAGAGCAGAGATAAGTCTTGAGAAGGTGAGCAGAGGTTGATGTCCTACAGGGGAGTGACCATGGAGGGTGGAAAGGGGACCACTCTTGAACAGAAAAGGGGACAATGGGAGTCTCAAGAATCGTTAAGGGTAGCCTGACATCCCCAACACACACACACACACACACACACACACACACACACACACACACACAGTGGATAGGCTGAAAAGGGACAAGGGCTGGAAAGATAAAAGTGAACAAAGGAAAGACAGGCTGTGGATGAGCAGACTCCAGAGGACTGGAAGAAACTGAGGCCAAGACCAGTGGTACCTGTTTAATGAGGGTGTCATCTTCAAGAGTTGCCTCTGGCTACCTGGTCAGAACTGCCTTGGCGGCCAGTGTGGTGGATGACTGCTATTGCCAGAGGCAGATGGCCAACCTGAAGGACTTTGTCGTGAGTGACAGCGGTGCTCTGTTGACCTGTTGAAAGCCCCTCTCTCTGGCCAAATTGCAGCATGAGAATTAGAGTATAGTGTGCCTCTTTGGAAGTGATGTAGACAGTAGCCTTTGGCCTCCTGCTAACGTGAAGGCAGGGGAAGAGGAAAGAGTTCTGCTTGCTGTGAGGTGGTGGGAGGCAGAAGGGGAGGGAGAGGGGTTGCACTTTTTTTTGTAGTATCATCTGTGACATTAAGTAGTATCATCTGTGACATTAAGCCTGAAGCTTAATGGGAATCTTTAAAAGGGCTCCTCCCATGGGGCTGGAGAGATGGCTCAGTGTCTAAGAACACTCACTGCTCATCCAGAGCCCAGAGTTTGTTTCCCAGAACCCATGTCAAGTGCCTCACAACCATCTGTAATTCCATCTCTAGGGGAATCTAATGCTTCATGCCTCAAGGGGCACCTGTACTCACATGTATATACACTATACACATATGTGCGCTCACACACACACACATTTGTAATTACAAGTTAATAAAGATGAATCCTTAAAAAAAAAAGCTCCCACCAGAGAGGTGTTTTCTTGCTTATTTGTGTTGTGTTGTTTTTAGTTGTTTTGGGGGTTTCTTTTGGGAGGGATGCTGCAGGGGTGAGGGAAGGATATGGAGGGACAGGGAGGTGAGTGGGATTAGGGTTCATAATGTGAAATCCCCAAAGAAGCAACTAAAAATTACACACACACACACACACACACACACACACACACACACATATGCTCCCACCAATGACCCAGTTAGAGGTCTCAGCAATGGGAATATTTGACAGGTTGACATGGAGCAAAGAATCAAGGAGATCAATACAAGAGTCGGAGTCCTTTGGAGGACTAAAAGTTTTAGGGACAAGGGTGTCTGGATTAAGAGCTTTGTACCTTTGAAAGGTGACTGGGGGCAGTGGAGAGATAAAAAGAATGTGTCTATTTAATGTGACCGGGAAAGAAAATAGCACTGACTTATGATCCTAAGGAGAGATGGTTGCAGACAGAGACAGTAATGGATAATGAGTTAGAATGTGAGTTTAAGGGCTTGGATTATTAAGACAGGAGTCTCTGAGGGTCTCTAAGCAAAGGACCAAACCTATGCTCCTGAATCTTGCTTAGTCAGGTAGGCTACTACTTGCAGGTGTTTCTCCATAAAATTGACAGAAAACACCTAAGGCTAAGTTATAAGAGGAGTGAACAAACAGAACAAAGGAAATGCAGAAGTCAAAGCCTCCTTAAGTTTGGAGAAGGTAGGTCAGGGAGGTTGGGAGAGGTCCAAAGGTTCTGAGAAGGTACGACAAGAAGGTTGATAAATTGGTTTGGCTGAGACCCCAAAACTGAAAATCCATATAAGAAAGTTACACATTAGGCTTAGTTTTGTTGTTGTTGTTGTTTTGTTCTGTTTTGTTTTCTGATGGAGGGAGTATTTCCTGGATTATAGCTTTGAAGCTTTGAGGTATGCAACGGGAATGGGGAGTAGGGTGAAGCCAAAGTAGGTGACCTGGGAGAAGACTCTGGGCATTCCTGGTCAGCTAGGAAGTTAAGGAAGACAGAGATGTATTGTGGAGACAGGTCATGAGGGGCTGCAGAGGAGAAGGTTGTCTGCACATTGGAGACAAGTGCGGGGGGAGAGGGGACTTCCAGGCCCAAGAGATTAGGGACCTTATGGAATCCTCAGGGTTAGCTAGGTGGACATTTAGGTGACAGGGTCTTTCAAAGTCACCTCAGGAAGCTCTTGACGAAGACAGAGAGAGAGGAGGAGAAGAGAGAGCAGCTGTGAAATCCAGGACTGAGAACTGACAGGTGGAAGATGGAATTATGGGATAGACAGGTATAAAGATTGAGGAGCACCAGGGGAAGAGACATTTACAATTTGGTTAATCAGGCAAGTCTTGGACTAGGTGATAAGAACCATCTGCTTCTAGTCGGCCATAACAGGCTTGTTGTGGAGAGAGTTGGTAAGTTCTAAATTGGAGGCTTTAAGGACTCGCATAATTATAGGTTTAAGTTCCTTGAGGCCAGTGGGGGCAAGGGGATATTGGGCCTGGTGTACAACAAAACAAAATAAAACAAAAACAAAGGGGGCCTACAGTTTAATCAGTATGGAGGGTTGAAAGGCAGCAATACGTGGTAAGCAGCATCCCAGACCAGAGGATACCTGGAGAATGAAGCCATGAAGGTGCCCTGGGCCCAGTAAGGTCTGGTGGCAAAGTAGGAGGAGAGGAGTTGCTTTGGATGGGCCTTGTGATGGACAGATGAGAGACACAGAACTTTTCCAGAATGTAATGTCCCAGGAGAGGGGTTGGACAGCGGGGAACAGGGAAAGAGATGACCCAAAAGGTTACACAATCATTTAGGTTTGGTTGGAAAGACTTTACACCCCCATCACAGAGGAAGGGGTTCCCCTGGTAAAACGGAATAACTCATTCTTCTATTAGATAAGAAAGAAACAACCTTACCAGTTACAGGCAGCGTTTCCCTGCATCAAACAAGGGTGGCGGTGGCGGAAGCAGCACCTCCCCAGGCCCAGTCAATCGGCAGCAGTTGTCAGTCCCAGGAACTGTCAATCCCAGCAATCCCAGTTTGGGACTGGGTGATTGGGACTTGTCAGGAATACATGTCTAGCTGAGCACAGTTTGATTTCCAGCAACCTGTTCTCCCCTCAGGGAAGCAGGAGTGAGAAGCAGTTGTAGGCTGGGGCAGGTTCTTGCTCAGTTGCCCTAGGTAGGCTCGTCCTGAGCGCAAACAGCGGCACTCCCCTGTTTGAGTTACCCTGCAATAAATCCTGGTGTGAGGCTGCTGCTAGCATTTGGTATTCTGCTTGATCTCCTCAGAGAGTCTGAGTTTAAGTTTTTTTCTCTGTGTGATGAAAGACCTTAAAGGCTGTTTTGTAAAGTGTCTTTGAGAGGTATGAGGGGCATTCCTCTAATAGCTGGAGTTTTTTTCCCAATGCGGGTACTGACAGGGAGATAAAATGAAAGTGGAGATATGATCTCCCATCACGGGTGTCAGGAGTCAGACTAGTGTATCTGGTCATGGTTTTGGGTAAGCAGGAGAAAAAGAAAAACGGACTTTGATCAGCTCGTTGAGTAATACCTTAGATTTTTGTCATAACTGACTGCCTTAAGGGCAGCCTTTTCCATGTAGCCATCTGGGAACTCAAATGCGTTGTATGGCTATTCCAGTGGGTGCCTGAAACTATCACAGTACCAACTGGGTTGTGATTCCTAGCCTGGGCATGGAGAATGTTGGTGTGTGCACGAACTGCCATCCAGATATCCTCCCTGCCCTCATAACAAATGTCATGTAAGGTTGGGTCAAAGGGCCGGGTAAGGGATTGACATTCTTTGGGATAGGCTCTGGGTTGGAGTCAAAGGAGTTCAAACAAACATGTTTCTGTTGGAAGTAGATCGGTGACATAAAAGGGGATATGGACCAGCACGAGGCCTCCAGCAAAGGCAGCCTCACAGAGCAGAAAAATGGAGTGAGCTGAGTCAGGAGGAGCTGTGACATAGGAACAGGTGTGAGGCAGGAGATTAGCCAGTTAACCTGCAGGCCTGGCACTGAAGTAAAGGAACTTGTCTCAGAGTACAAAAGAAGTGGCAAACTTCAGGTATGGATTCCAGCTCCTTCGCACGCTCACTCTTTGTTTCATTTTGCGGTATTTTGATTTTGTTCTTGTTTTGTTTT